ACAATCTGCTTTATAGTTTATGTGGCAGAATTGCATAAATTTACATTTGAAAACTTGTCTTTCAATTCACGAATTCTGTCTTGACTTGAGATGTGAGAGGAGTATTCAATCATTGATTTCTAAGTTTTTATCACTGTTCATTATACATCTATAAGTACATTTACCTATTTTTAAGTATTTTTATTCTTTTTGTTAGCACCTAATAATGCAAATGACTTTGTCATTATTTTCTTAAGTCTTTTTCAGATTTACTTCCTTAAGTCATATTTAACAATATTATTTCTGTGGATGGAGCTGACAGGACTCTGCTCAGTGAAATAAGTCAGAAGGAAAAAGAAAAATATCAAATGATTTCATTTACAGGAGGAATATAGGGGATCCAAATGAGACATCGGGGGGAAAGTATTTATAATAAAGTAAAACTCAAAATGGTCAGGAAACTGTAGATCAGAGACATTCTGTAGGGGAAAAGGAGGAAGAAGGACCAGGACAGGGTGGGAAAAGTGCAGCGCTCTATGGTGATGGATGATGGAGGAGCTGGTGGTGAGAATTTCACAGCAAAATCATACATTGTACAAAAATGAAGGCTGATGTAACAAATATATTTTGAAAAAGAAAATAAAACATTAAAATTTTTGAGCAAAAAGAAAGAATATAGAATTCTGAACAACTCAAGGATCATGGTGTTATTTAAATTCATCTCACTTGAGTGGCAATTAATTCACGTATCTTCAGAGGAGATGAAGTGGTAAAAAGAGAGCTGCAGGGTGACCTCTGTGTATTGCTCCTGGAGGTCCTAAATTGGGTATGTCCTCAGTGAGGTGCTAGCTGATCAATGGGCGCAAGAGTCAGCTGATCTCCTAGATTCATAGATATCTTATAATATTCCAACTCCTTAGGGGAATTAAGGAAAATGAGAAAAACTTTTATTACTGCTTCCCACATCCTGACAAAAATGATCAGGGAAGAAACTACATTCTCTCCTTTCAAATTATGGAAATTTTTCTCACACTAGTTTTGTGGGGTGAAATATTAATCTGTACTACTTGTGAAAGTAATTTTCACAGAGCTACTGAATATCTGATATGACACTCAGGAAGTTCATTCCTCAATTTAGCTCTAAATTCCTGGTTGACTTTTGGGTTCACCACAGGTAGCAGTGCAGGGCCCCCACTCTCTAGTTCCCCCCTAACTAAAGAACACAAATTATGAGTGAAGTGGTAACTGGTCTGGTTCTGACATAAGTGTCCAGGAAAAATGCACTTTGGGGTTAAACAACAGTTTGGAAACAGCTTCCTTTGGGCAAATTAGTAACTTCAAAGAATACAGACTTCAAGGTTTATGGAAGAGCAAAAACTCCCAATTCCAGGTAGAAGATGCTCTTGATCTGGTAATCATTAATAACCATCCTTGTTTTTCTCAGTGCACAGATAACAGCAGCTACATATATAAACCAGACAGCTCCACAGATCCTTGCTTTGTTCCCCTACAAGTGACAGAATATCTTAAAGCAAGAGCATCAATTTGGGCACCGTTTCCAGAGTAATCTGTAGAATGTTCTCAGGCTTGAATCTCTCATAAGCTCATTTAATTTTTGCTCACCTCAATTTATTTAACCCAACATATTCCCAATATATTGTGAACTTCTCTCACAAGCAAGAACTAATAGTAGTGTCTCAACAAATGTGTCAATCTTGTTTTCTCTGAAAAACCTTTCTTAGAGCTGCCTTTATGGATTGGTTTCGCAAGCTGTAGATCATTGGGTTGAGTGTTGGGGGCACAACGGTGTACATAACAGTGAGAAAAATGTCCAGTGCACTTGGAGAATCAGAAGGGGGCTTCAGAAACTCAAAGGCGCTAGTTGAAATAAATAAAATGACAACAGCGAGGTGGGGAAGGCAAGTGGAAAAGGCCTTAGCTCTGCCCTCAGCAGACGGCATCCTCAGCACAGTGGAGAAGATCTGAATGTAGGACAGTCCAATAAAGGTGACACAAAGAAAGGCCATAGAAGCCAAGAAGACACTGACCCCAACCTCGCTGGTGTACTCATTGGAACAAGAGAGTTTCAGGAGCTGGGGAACATCACAGAAGAACTGGTGAATGACATGGGAGCCACAGAAGTGCATGGAGAAAGTGGCAGCTGTTTGCATGGTTCCAGAAATGACCCCACTGATCCAGACACCAACTACTCCATGGACACAGGTGCTGACGTCCATGATGATGTCATAGCGCAATGGAAGGCAGATGGCCACGTAGCGGTCATAAGACATCGCTGTGAGCATGGACATCTCAGCAACAGCACAGAGAATGAAAGCAAAGCACTGCACTATGCACTCCCCGAGGGAAATGTAGCCACTGTGCATGAAAGAGTTGTAGATGGCCCTTGGCACCGTCACGGAAATGTAGCACAGGTCCAGGAAGGAGAGATGTTTCAGGAAGAAATACATGGGTGAGTGCAGACTACTGTCCATGGAAATCACGGTGATGATGAGGATGTTGCCAGTCACTGCCACCAGGTATAAGACCAGGAACAGAGAAGCATGGATGAGTTCTAGCTCAGGCTTGGCAGAAAATCCCAACAGCAGAAACCCGCTCATAGTGAAATTCCCCATAGTCCTTCACATTCACCTTCAATATCATTTCTGTGTTATGTTGACTGCAAGACAAAATGGAACCATTAGAAATTTCTGTTACTTAAACATACAGTGAATGTTGTTGGGGGTGACCAGGTGGTAATACAAATGCTGGTAGGACTAGATAAGGCC